AACGGACTTGGTGCAATAACAATGAGAGGTCGCCCCCTAACCCTATACAACTTTAATGCATTCATTACTGTAAGCTATAAAACAGAGAGGTTCGATGCTAAAATTTTATGCTATTTTATGGCAGATCCTTTTCGTATGTACATTTCCTGAGTACATTTTTTGGGAAATGGAAGAAAGAGAACAGTTAAATAAACTAAACAATGAATAAAAGATCTACATATGTATACTTATTTTGAACTATGCAATTTTTGGAATCGTACAAAAATTCACAAAGCTATCCGTGGCTGTTGTCTCACAAACTAATCACACCCGCCACGAGTGGAACAATAAAACCAAAATCGTGTGCAATAATACAGAATTTATCGGGTCGGACGGTGGCGTACTACACCGCTTGATGGATTAAATTGCCCTATCCTTATGACAACCTGGGTGCAGAAAAATACGCTCTATATTAAAAAAACAGCTGGTCATTTTTCAAATGTTTCCTTTTGCACTACCGAAGCAGGTGTCGGAGTTTTTTTGTTTCGTTCGGTAGCCGGGCGCGGTTAGCGGCAAATTGCGCGTTTGTACAACGCTTACGTCGCCGTCGGTGAACATTGTTTGCGAACAGCCTCTGATGAATTTGTGTAGGATTCGCGTGTTGAATTAGGACACGTCGCGTTTCTTGTTTCGTTGTATTATATTAAACGAATGTTTTGATAATTAATTTAATAAAAAAAATAATGAGATGTTTAATATTGTTTTTATCTTAGCTTAAAATGTCTCGGTAAGGAATTCCTCCGTCACTTTCCCAGATGGTAAACTAAAGTGAACAATTCACAATATAGAGATTAATTCACTATCGTAAGGAAAAGCGTTATTCTACTAATTAAATGTTATAATAATCATGGCCAGTTGAAATGATCAAGCCTAACTCGCATACGAATATAATGTGGATTATTTTCGTAATTCTTTCTAAATTGTCATGAAGATATTTATATACTGGTGGTAGGACCTCTTGTGAGTCCGCGCGGGTGGGTACCACCACCCTGCCTATTTCTGCCGTGAAGCAGTAATGCGTTTCGGTTTGAAAGGTGGGCCAGCCGTTGTAACTATACTTGAGACCTTAGAACTTGTATATCAAGGTGGGTGGCGCATTTACGTTGTGGATGTCTATGGGCTCCAGTAACCACTTAACACCAGGTGGGCTGTGAGCTCGTCCAACCATCTAAGCAATAAAAAAAAAAAATTAAGTGAAAATTTCCAGGTATAATTTGACATTAGAGCATTTTGTTCAAGTTACAAGTTATCTCAACCCTTAGTATTAGACCCTTCCTTTACGGTGTTCATTGACGAGGTCTGGAAAAAGACCACAGAGATAGACAGTTACTTGGCTGTGGCTGTGATATTTGCGATAACCACATATCCACTTATCGACCTAATAGTTACCGAATGCTTAACTGTATCGAAATGTAAAAAAAGATGCGCTTACTTCGTGGTCTCTATAACCTCGGTAGCTGCTGAATACCGGGTGGAACGATATCTTAGTTCCCGTTTAAGTATGTAAAATTTAAAATATACATAACTTTTTTTATTGCTTAAATGGGTGGATAGAATAAAACAATTTTTTTTTATTGCTTCGATTGGTGGACGAGCTCACAGCCCACCTGGTGTTAAGTATTTACTGGAGCCCATAGACATCTACAACGCAAATGCGCTACACACCTTGAGATATAAGTTCTAAGGACTCGAGTGTACTTACAACGGCTGCCCCACCCGTCATACCGAAATGCACTACTGCTTCACGGCACAAATAGGCAGGGTGGTGGTACCTACCCGCGCGGACTCACAAGAGGTCCTACCACCAGTAAAAAATTAGATTACTAACATGTGCCTAACTCTACATACGGTCGAAAAGCTGTTAAAAACGTATTAACGCTTTCAAGATAATTGACGGCAACTACATTCGAACCGTTCATAAAGAATCGAACAGCTATCGTGAAATTCGGTTAAAGAACACATTTTCATCTACAAATAAAAATCGCTTATTTTTATTAACAAACATAAAAAACGTGATTAATTTGATACGGATCGATATTCCGGAAAACGAACCACACACTGCAGTTACCCGCTTGTAATTGTTATATGTGAATCCGCATTTTCCAGGCGAGTTTTAATTATCAGGAGTCGCGCGCGCCTGAATTACGCGACCGCCCGCGTTATTTATGACTGCACCCCGCCATTCCAATATACTTTTTAACGTAATGAGCGCGCGTTGCCACGGGAGGGTGCCCCTTGTTATGTACTTACCGACGACATTGTTTATTCATTACGCGTAAACAACACTAGATGATGACCGACCTTTGCTCGGTTTTTTTTTGATAACGCCATCTTGTTGTGTCTTTAAAGCGGTTAGTTGCCCTCAATTAAGAAAAATAGTATTATTATTCGCCAATAGATGTCGGGAAGAGTTGATTATTGAAAACACGAATAAAACAACATTTTCTGAAAATAAATCGTAGCTAGATTGATTTATCGCCCCCGAAATCCCCTGTTTACTAAATTATATGAAAATCGTTGGAGTCGTTTCCGAGATTCAGATTATATACATATATATTAATATGCAAGAAATGCTCGTTTAAAGGTATAAGATAACAGATAAAGATTATCGTGGAGTACAAAATGTTGTTAGAGCAATCCAAAGACAAAATTAAATCTAAATATAACTCTTCTTTGGATAGCCTTAGTTAACAAAATTAACATTCGGTATTATATAAACAAAAGCACAATACCGTTTCTCCTCTACTTGTCAAGTAATTTTTTGATAGCTATTAACGTTCGCGTTCTAAATACAAAATCTTCATAATTCTTTTTTTCACCATTACAACAAAAAATGCCAATACAAAACAAAAGAGAAAATTTTGTGTTGTAATATTTTAAGTAATTATAGTCGAATTTCGATTACCGGGTGAACACTGGCTTATTTAATTTAATGGGTTTGGTTGACTTTAAAAGACTTCCTTAACCTAACTTGTTTACTCTTTCATGGCCACTCCAACCGATAATGTTCATGAAACTTATTTAGTTAAGCCATTTATAACAACAGTGCTATTTAAAGCTTCTGAACGATGAAATCGACCCTTTCACACGCTATTTATGCCTAATTTAGGCTACGTTATTTACATTGCACGTTACAACATTGTTATTTAAGAACAACGATATATTACCATCGATGTTTAGGAATTAAAAGTAGTGTAAGAAAAAATTATGTTATTATAAAAAAGCTGCTTTTCAGCATATTATCAAAATAACCCTTCTACTCATATAGGTTCATAAAATATTTATTACTACTGATACACCACGCTTTTTTAACAATAAAATCATTTTTTCTTAAACTATTTTTAATTCAAATTTAGTACAATTTATTTTCTATTTTTTAGTTGGACTTTCTATAAAAGCGTATTTTATTAGTTTTTTTAAACTATCATTTATTTTTCATTTTGTAGTTGAATTTCAATTTCAATTTCAACAATTTTTTTAATAGGAAATTGTCATCGGTCCTTATTAAGTTTGCCAAATTTCGAGTTAATCCACCATTTTGAATGGGGTCAAAATCATGTTCAAAGATTCCGTTACAAACATACATACGTCTGAAGCTATTATAATAAAAGCGTATTAAAAAACGGAAACATCCTTAAAATCCGTCAATAGAAGGAAATTCATTATATTGTTTCCAATATAAAAAATACTACAGAATAGACCAAAAAGATTTTCGTTACAGATGAACGTGATTCGATCTCTTGAAAACAAGCACGGTCGCATTAAACATTCAAAGGCTACACACGTGGCGGCCTCGGCTTACATAAAATAAGTGGTTGTTATGAAATTAAGGAGCCAACCACAAGCTGTCTGCTACGTTTTTTTTCGGTGCGCTCCCGTCAGCCACAGTCGAATTACTGGACACTAATTGGACTGTGAAATGTGACGGACGATGCGAGAAAAATACCTTATTTACGAATGTTTTGCCTTGGAAAATTATTAACAAAAATTACGGGCCATTTTCTTTCGAAGCGAACAGTGAGTGCTAACTGAATTCAGAGATAAAGCTATTTTAAGATGTTTGAGAAATCGAACAATACTGCATCGTTTACAACAATAACCTAGGGGAGATGTTGGGACTTTAAAATAATTTGCACAGTGTTTTCTTAGATTAGTTTCTTAGTGTCGTAAATACAATAAAATTACTTCTACTCCTTAAGAAGTGCAAAGAGCGAAAAACAAAGAATGCACGAAACATTACAAATTGTAAAAAAAATAATAGTAAACAAGTAATTGATTCATAAATTAAAAGTAGCTTTGTTCAATTAAAGTGTACTTATTAAATTGCAACCTAAAATATGATAGAATTAACACAACAACATAAAATATATTAAAAAGCGTTGTCCACAGAATGATATTAGAAAGATTATTTTCGCTTATAATAAACTCAATGTTTTTTTCTTAGATTATTGACGGCGATCACTTTTTGTTTTTACAGAAACATTCAGTTGCCTTTATGATTGCGTTATGGGTAAATAAGTTCACCGCTCATCTGGATTTAAGTAATTACCAGAGATTATAAGGATGAAATTATGGTCTCAATTATGTTTGCCAACACTAGACCTATTCTTCAACGGGTATGCATTACTGCTCCCCAACAAAAATAGGTGGTATAATGAGTAGTACCTCTCTGGGCAAGCTTACGATACCACCTGTGATGTTTATTCCTGGACTTTGGAAGTCATTCATATTAAGTACGTAATTCCTTAGCTAAAAATAGTATAGTTGTATCGCTTGATACGATTACACCGAGCTACTCATTCTTTAGGTCACAACGATTTCAATATATCAAGTAACTTGTTGCATCCAGTCTTGCCTAGACTCAACTACAGCCGTAACCTTATTGGCATAATAAAAAAATTTGTAATATTTAAACTGTAATTTCGAAAAGTTTTTATATACCAGCTGTATGTTTCACCTACTTGAACTCTTGCCTCCGTGAGGTCGATCTTCATAGCGATCTCTTCTCTTGTGTAGATATCTGGATAGTGCGTCTCCTGGAAAGCTCGTTCTAGCTCCTTAAGTTGTGCTGAAGTGAAAGTCGTTCGGATTCTTCTCTGCTTCCGTTTCTCCGTTAGTGATCCTTCGTGACTTCCGTACACTTTGTATGGCAGACCCGCTGTGGGAAAAATAAGTGAATTCAGTACTAATAACAATAGCAAATCAAATTACAGTTATTAAAATAATTTATAATCAGTTTAATTTAACTTCTGATATGATATAACCTTTTTCCAAAATACATTCAAAAAGAGATGTTTCTAATTTTAATACATTTTTGATTATCGAATTGTCACTCAAAAATGTCTGTATCGGTATCTGAGCGGCAATTATAATTTTCTTTTATTTTCACCAGAATTTATGGAACATCCTTTTATTATTACAGTTAATTTTAATAAATGAAATTCATTGGCGAGTAAATGTAATTAAAATAATATGAATACAAGAAAATGCAGTCTGCTAAATATTAAAAGGTGGTGAAATCTTGTAAAACATGGTTTGTTATCAATGCAAAGAGCAGTGTAGGGTTCTACAAAGCGGCCATTTTTGTCTCCCCGCCCGTCTAAAGGCCCTCACCCTCTCCGTTGACTATATACCTACTTTACCTACATATACTTAATCAAACTAAGAACTTTCTTTGAATCTTTTTTAGCATTAATTTTTGTTTGAATTGAAGTAGTTCTGATAGGTTTTGTCAAAGATATTTCAATGTACTTTGAGATTCAGAGTATATTCGAAGTATTTTACAGTTTATTTCACCGGCTTCAACGAAGAGGTCACTATTCGGACCGTAAATTTTTATGGAATAATAATTACGTTTTCAAATCCCAAACTAAGAATTAGTCTCAGCTCCTTGTTTCACAATATACCATTTCTATTATGTCGCTTCCTAAGCCTTTTCACTGCAAGCTAGGCTTCTTATATTATGAAAAACAGTTTCACGAAGTTAAATAATAATAATTGTAATATATAATAATAATAACGTATGATAATAATGTTTTTTTCCAAGCGTTATCACACAGTGTCGTAGTTCATAAATCAAAAACCTATTTATTTATTTTTTCACAATAAGCACTCCCCATTCGAGTAATTAAAATTTCTCAACCAATCATTGAAGGCACTAAGTGAAATATAGAATACGGTGGATGAGAATTAGTCTCATCTCCTTGTTTCACAATATACCATTTTTATTATGGCGTTTCCTAAGCCTTTTCACTGCAAGCTAGGCTTCTTATATTTTGAGAAACAGTTTCACGAAATCAAATAATAATAATTGTGAGTTTTTTTTTAAAACGTTATCAGACAGAGTTGTATTTCAAAAATCAAAAATCTGTTAATTTATTTTTCACAAAATAAGCACACCCCATACGAGTTAGTTAAAAATTCTTAACCAATCATTGAAGGTACTAAGTGAAATATAGGATACGGTGGAAAAAAATTTCGTAGCGCGGTCTGTCGCGTGGAATATGTATCGATCGCTACTCGCAGCTACGACGTAGCGTCTTGCTACACGAGACTGGAAATTTTCATTTCTTTTCTAGTTGAATGTAAACGAAACTGAACTTTGCATTCTCCGTCCAGTGTGAATATTACATATATGCAGAATATTCTACGTTGCATATAAAAATGCAGTAACCGTGTTTATATAACTATATAGGTGCTTAAGATCTTAAATATTATTGTCTAGTTGTAACATCAGTTCTTACTTTAACACTTTAATAAATGACAAACGGCTTTATCGAAAAAGAGTTTAATATAACTAATAATTTTTTATCCTATAATATCCATCTGGATAAATGTTCTTATAGATGAACAAAAAAGAGCAAAGACACATGAAGTATTCAAATTTTAAAAATTCACTAGCAAATTAATTATATGCTTATTCTACATATTTAACTGATTTTTTTTATTGCTTAGATCGATGGATGAGCTCACAGTTCACCTGGTGTTAAATGGTTACTGGAGCCCATGGACATCTTCAACGTAAATGTGCCATCCACCTTGAGATATAAGTTCTAAGGTCTCAGTATAGTTACAACGGCTGCCTCATCCTTCAATCTGAAACGCATTACTACTTCACGGCAGAAATAGGCAGGGTACCTACCCGTGCGGACTCACAAGAAGTCCTACCACCAGCAATAATAGATTTGCTGTTCAAAAACTCGATTGAAGTTCAAGACACAATTCCTGTGTGTACAGTGACAAATCCCGTGAACCAATAACAGTAAACAACATTAGACATTTAGTTGTTGCGGCGTAGGTACATCGGGGGACCGCAGACCGCACACGCGCAGCGACAATTACCTCAAATGAACCGGAATTAATCGAGACTCGGTTCTTGGCCGAGCTGCGGTCTCATTTGCATTATTAATAGAGGCTGCGAGGACGGAGGGCCGCGGGGATGTCACTGCCCCCGCACCGCGACCCGCGCCCCCGCGCAATTTGCGGGACCTAATGAAGAGGATCTCGCCAAGATGTTTCTGTTCATAAGATGTTTAATTTGAGTTTGCATTTTCGTGGGTCAGAACGTTGGTCCGCTCATTGTTATTGGGGGCTTTATGTTTTAGGGTAAGTCGAACCTTCACATTTTCATTATAAACATTGATTCGTAATAAGATTGTTTGCAAATTGGCTTTTCGCTTGATTGCTATGTTTGTTACTGAACCCATTGTTAAATGGTTACTGGAGTCCATACAAGTCGTAACGTAAATACGTACCTTTACGTAACGTAGCCTTTCGTAAGGTATGAAGTCGAAGTCTCAGTTGTCTTATTCATCTGACTGTCCCATCTTTCAAACCGGAACGCATGATTGATTTCAGAAATACGTAAGATGTATGCAAGATCATAATCTTCAACGAATTTATACATTTTTCGGTTCCGACTTTATCACACAAGGCCGTGTACATTCGGCGTATATAAATTTGTTTTAAGCTTTCTGCTTCCAGCTTCCACAAACGGGGACTACAATTGCATGTTTTCAGGAAATGTAATTTAATTGTCAAATCCCAAAGTGCGAATCAAACACTTTTTTACATAGTTTTCCATTTCTCATAAAGCTTTTCATTGCAAGCTAAATGTGTTCTATATTTGGTAACATCCTGTGATTTTATGCCTGTCATTAAAAGTTGAAACTCTAGAAGATAATTGTAACCGATCTAACAATTAATAATCATTTAATTAAAACTCGTAAGTGTTACTCTTATTAAGTAATAACACCACTGAATCTCATCGGAGCACATGGCGCTAGTTAATCGCCAGATGCATATTAATTCACAGGTGATATGATCCATGACCCCCCGACCCCAGCAATCGCTTTCCATGGCAGCACCCTCTGAGGAAAATCTGTTAATTACTAAACGGCGAGACTGCTTGAAGGGCGCTAAGGATCACGTCAAACGGGTTTTGACTCGTGAAAATTTGCATATTGAATTTTAACTAATATTAATTAGGAAATACATTCACGAATAGTTTTATTTATTTATTTGCGTAATAAATGGATAGCCTTCACGGAACATTAAAAGATTCAGAATGAATAAAAAGAACACAATAAAATATCAATATAATATTTGTTTTTATTTATTTTTTATATCTGATATTTTGAATGTTTTGGGTTATTTATTCCTATGACGATAGGACATTAAGGAACCATGATTAATTGCTTTAAAGCCACCTATTGTTGATAAATTACAAAAAAAAACCTGAAGCAGTCAGATTAGACGCTTGATTAATTTATTGATTGAAATATATGAAATATATGAATGTCTTTGAAATATATGAATATTATCTAAATGTATGATTCATCTACGCAGAATAAAAACTTCAGGATCACACATAGACAAATGACCGCTGATATACCAAAGGGCGGAAGTGAAGCTTGTAGTAGCTCTTCGTCATTGTCATTTCATACGAATGCTCTTCAGTGTTCTTCTACCGATCAATACTTTACTCGATAGACAGTTAATCTGTAAGCGTTTGTTCTATAGATTCCTCTACACTGATACGAAATATCTACGTCAAATCAAAACGCGGTTCTTTTATAAATGTTTCTTAAAACGTGGAAAAGCTATACCCTCAAAAATTTATATCACTCGTGGTAGGACCTCTCGTGAGTCCGCACGGGTAGGTACCACCACCCCGCCTATTTCTGCCGTGAAGCAGTAATGCGTTTCGGTTTGAAGGGTGGGGTAGCCGCTGTAACTATACTGAGACCTTAGAACTTATATCTCAAGATGGGTGGCGCATTTACATTGTAGATGTCTATGGGCTCCAGTAACCACATAACACCAGGTGGGCTGTGAGCTCGTCCACCCATCTAAGCAATAAAAAAAAAACAGAATCAAGCTTAGGATTGGTTTCAGAAAAATCAATAATGTATAACATCGCTATGAAAGATAAAATTCTGACTAGGATATTACACGACGATCCGTCCAGGCTGTAGATGGTTCATTTTTCTCACGTCAGGTGAAAAGTTCGCCGGCATCCATAATGCAGGAGATGTCGGCACGTCATCGCGGCATACTGCGGCACTGCTCGGGCCGCATTTCACTCCACTGAAGGGTTGCCGGCGAGATTAATGAACCTATTTCACCGAACCTTCTTGTACACTTTTTTAACGCACTTTATTGCTTTAATCATATTTGATTAGCGCTATTGTATATGGGTGCGTCCTAGTTTACCAGTGGTATGATTAAATATACAATTATTTGATTAATTATTTTTGAAGTCGTCATGGCCTAAAGGATAAGACAACCGAAGAAATAACATCGTGTAATAAAAATCAAACCCGCAAAATTCTATTATGCGTAATTACTGCTGGTAGGACCCCTTGTGCGGTCGCGCGGGCAGGTATCACCACTCTGCCTATTTCTGCCGTGAAGCAGTAATGCGTTTCGGTTAGAAGGGTGGGGCAGCCGTTGTAGCTATACTTGAGACCTTAGAACTTATATCTCAAGGTGAGTGGCGCATTTACGTTGTAGATGTCTATGGGCTCCAGTAACCACTTAACACCAGGTGAGCTGTGAGCTCATCCACCCATCTAAGCAATAAAAAAACATTCTTGTGGATTTTCATTAATGTACGATACTTGTATATTATAGACAGCCATTTTGAAGTTTAGTCAC